TTAGATCAAGGGGAGGCCTCCTTCATGTAATAGGAGGGAGAAAGGGAGGTTGTGGGATTTGGAAGTTCAGTCGTAACAAGGTGAATGAAGAAACAAATTCACATCTAGGTATACCCGAAGGAAATGACTTTTTAAAAAAAAAGATAAAATATATGCATAAAGATGCCCATTGCACCAACAAGAATAAAACACTCAAAATAGGAGCAATAAAGGAATAGCAATACAGAAATGGCAAAAACCCATTATCAGATTATCAATCTCTATGAAATACTGTGCACTAAAATCATAATTAGGAAGCCTGTAAAAGATAGGATCACAGGGCTGGGGATTTAGCTCAGTGGTTCCACTGCCTGCCTGGCAAGCGAGAGGACCCAAGTTCAATCCCCGGTACCAAAAAAAAAAAAAAAAAAAAAAAAAAAAAAAAAAAAATGAAAACAAATCAATATTGAAAGATAGGATCACAGAAGTAAAAAGAAAGTCAAGATATTCTCCTTGAGGTTTTCCAATAAGTATGTCCTATGGTTTTATTTTGCTTAAGGTAGTATTGCTACAGCTGCAAGTCCTGATTTTTCTGCATAATTCATCCTTAAGGTGGCAGGCAAGTACACTTTTTACAAATACCTTAAATAAGAGAAAGAAAATAAATAATTCCTGTAGATGTATCGGTTTGGCTCTTCTTGCTAAAAAAAATAAATATACTTAATTAAATTAGATTTATTTTTCACTCACTAAATGTGAAGCATTATTCACAAGGACAGTGTTTATTTTGAGAAAGTTACTACTGACAGATGTAAAAGAGCTTTGAAACGTGGCAAGAGGACAAAGACATAATTCTTTATGATTAAAAACAAACCTTACAATCAATAAAAATTTACTTCTTGGGAGCCTAAAAATATTTTGATAGTTTAGACATTGGTATTTGTTATTGGTGTGTTGTTAGTTTATTATTACAAAATAAACAATGATGTGACGAGAAAAAAATGCAATCTCCTGAATCAGATCAGTTAAAAGCAGCAAATCAAATCAATTCTTCATGTAATTACAGGATGAAGGAGTAAAACTGAGTGGAGTTCTCAGGTTTTCCCATAATAATGCCCATTCCTCAGTACAGTACAATGACAAGTGTCTTAGTTGGCTTTCTATTGCTATTACAGAACACTTGAGACAAGATAATTGCTAAAGGAAAGGGATTTGTTTTGCTCATGGTTTTAAGGCTGGAAAGTCCTAGACTGTGGCACTATTTGCTCAGTATGTGGTGAGAGCTTCCCTGCTGGGTCCTGACATTCTAGATAGCACACAGGACAAGACAGAGTGATCTCCTTTTATAACAAAAGCATTCCTACAATAATCCACTGATCCATTAATTCACTGACCCAATCATGACAGCCAAGCTCTCATGACTCAACTCCCAGAGGACTCACCTCTCAATTCTGCTACACTGGGGACTGAGTTTCCAACACATGAACTTTTCACAGAAACATTCAAACCATAGCCACAGCATTTATTTTCCTGCTCACACAGATGTCTGATATTGGTGTGGCTCTGTTCCACACATCTCATTCTGGGGTCTAGCTGCGAGCTCTAGAAATGCTGATACTGGACACGATCTGGAGAACCCAATTTAGTGGGTCTCAAAGGAAGTCTGGGTACATGTGGATAAGGAATGTGTCTTGTGTGCTGTTTCTGGGGATGGGGCGGTGCTGAATTGCACAGATTCTGTTCTCCTCCAATCAGTTTGTGTTTTTCTCGACAGATTTGTGAAGTATCTCCAAGTATCAAAGTGATTGTTATCAGAGAAATCTAATATTTTAGATTATCTCTTAGTTATTTTCTCATCACTGAGACACAATGCCAGACATTTCAGTCCCTAGTTGTCTGCCTCCAACTAGAAAGGCACCCCTAGAGAGGCCGCAGAGCCCATGAAAGTTGGAAGAGGAAGTTGCAGGGTCAGTGAAGGGAGACTAAAGCAAAGTTTGTATAAGAGTGATGTCATGTAACCTTACCAGGTGTGGTAAAAGGATCTGGGTACCTTGACCTAAATTCAAGGAGAGTGTCAACCATTGCAAAACTCTATTCTATATAGAACAGGGGCACCATTAACACTCTATTTAATATAAAGAAAAAAACTTGGAAACTGCAGTGTGCAAGGTGCCTTTGCAGTTGAGTCATTTATCCAGCTCTAGACTAGGAATTACTTTTATATAACCTTTAATAACTCCATATGCTTTGCAAAGGTTTAAGACTCCAGTATCTCTTCTCCCCTGCCCTTCTCCCTTTCTCTTCTCCCTCTCTTCCCCTCCCTCCTTTCATCCCCCCATCCCTCCCTCTGTGTCTCTCCTTCAGTGCGAAGGATCAAACCCAGGGCCTTACACAGGCTAGACAAGCACTCTACCATTGAGCCGCATTCCGCAGTTCTTAAGTGTTGTTGTTAAATCTACCTCTCTTTTCACCTCTCATGATGTAACATTATGCATAACTTATTCAATCCACTAAACATTTCAAAGACATCAGTGGTCTCTGTAGTTTACAATTTCCACATTACATGTTGCAAACAATTCCCTCCCTGCTGAAACTGTGTGGGAGATTCCTAGACTCGGAACTTTGATTAGTCTTGATCAGTCTCTGTCACCTAGCTAAAATAATCCATTTCTTTATATCTCATTGCGTTTGTATGTAAAATGAGGACTAAAGTATCAGATTCTGAGCTATCCTAATATAGGACTATAATGTGCTTAATTTGCCTCATTTTCTTAACCTGCATAAGCACAGATGATTACTGTTTATGATGGATCATGTTTAATATTATTGCTCTTTTCCCCACATGTTACTGAGAATAAGCAGATTCACAGTGGGTGTGTTGGGTTTTTCAGATGAGATTCTCTACCCTGCACATATTTGGGATATGCTTATGCATTCTGCTAAATGAATGTTACACGTTTGCTAATCATTTAAGCAATTTCTCTTTCCTTCACCTTCCACACAGCTGTTCACACATTCAAGAAAAGAGGTTTGTGACTGTATGATAAAACCTTATCATCCTTTCTCTGCCCAGTGTAAGTTCTAGGATCCATGTGTCAACCAGCACTGTCTATGTGTCAACAATTACATCATTTTCATGATCAACCAAATTAAAAGGGAGGTAAGTTTATTCTTAATCTTCTCCTGTCAAATACTTCTGTTTATTCATTGCTACTTATTAGATAGCTTTTCCAGGAATGCAGTGTCTTCAAAAATTACTAATATATAAATGCTAAGGTAATTGAATTATACATCTTATGTTTTTAGGAAATAGAATATGTACTTATAACACACAATGTTTTAGGTTTTATTTTAAACTGTGTTCCTCAGCAATGGACTGACAGTTTCTGCATCTCACAAGAAAAAGCATAAGCACATTATGCAACTGTACTAAATTAAGTAAAACCAAAGGAACATTTTTACACATCAGAAGTGGTAAAACCAAACAATATAGTTTACATACACAAAAACTGCAAGAATTAAACAGAGAATTAAAGCCTTTTCAATATAATAATGTAAATATATTTTACTTTGCATGGTTTATTTGCATATTTATTCTACCTATTACTGAAGACATAAGGAGTTCAAGACTATATAGTCTGGCCTCCTACGTGCATGTATGAAAGGTAACCACCTAGAAATTGTGCAATATTTTTTCCAGTGATTTAGAAAGCCAGACTGTTTGACTATTTGATTCTACATGCACACTAGGTTCCAATCCATTCCTTGCTCTAGATGACACAGTGATTCCAGTTCCTGTATTTTTTGTTTTCCAACAGTCATCTCCATAGATTCCAAGATAGCTTCAGGTACATCGATGGTAGAGATGATGAAGCAGACAGGTCAACTGAGTCACCCTCTAATCTGTGTCCATTTACTGAGTTCATGAAGACAAAGTTCTGAGTCAAGATGCTCATATCTGCCTGTGTTTGTGTCATGTATCTACTTCAGTCTTTGTCTATCACGTTGGATAAATTAAGAGTTACTTTTGAGTTTAAAGCTTTAATTTGGAAAATTTACAAAGGATTCATCAACAAATTTTGTGAGTTTTAAGGAAACCCTGAAGGATGTTTCCTAGAAATGTGAAAGATATTGACAGGTATTCCAAGAGACCTCTGAAAACCACAGCAGAAACCTATTCAAATGCCATAATGTCATGATTTTAAAATGTTAGTGACAGAAAACTTGTTTCAAACAAGTTACTACCATCTGCACCCATGGAAGAAAATGTCTAAATTAATATTTCCTAAACCAATAGCTATAAATTATCTCAATGTTCCTAATGACTTTGAGAGCTAAGAACCAATTTTCATTCACCAAACTCAGAGGAAAGGCTTCTGCTTTCCACACTAAGGGAGAGTATTTCTCCTCCACATATTTTTAAAGGTATTTTGAACCTAAATAATTGAGAAATTGATTTAAAATTATAATTAGATAAACAAAACTACTCTTTCTTGCCCATAACAAATGAGCCTTACTATAGAAAACAAATATTTTTAGAAATGTTCATGCCTTTTTAGAATTCATATTGAAGAACAACACGTCTTGAAGCACTATAACCAATGATCAGAGTGTAGTTAATTCTGGCCTGATGTGTGAGGTGTAAATCACAAAAGACCAGAGAAACCCAATTGTCAATCCTTTCTTAATCCAAATTTGTCTCTCATAAGTAAAAATAAAATAAAAATAGACACTGATTTGTCTCCCTGATGAGTTCAGAATCAGACATTTACCAGACTGCACAGACTACTGCCAGGTTCCTTCATGGGGCCTAAGGAATAAAAGCAGAACGGTGGCAGCCAAGGAAAATCTGAGGTCCTCAACCATCTCAACTTCCTGGCTCTCCCTAAGGCAGAGCATGAGGAGTTTAGGGAGCAAGGAAAAACAAAGATGAAAGTTAATCACATTTCTTCTTTCCATCTTCAAAAAAAAAAATATATGTGAGATTAGAACACAAGTATTGTTTATGCAGTTTCCAGTCCTGAAAAACAGTACTCACAACAAACAATTACTATAAAGCCCTGCTCACGACGTTTGCGAGTTGACTGGGGTGGCGGGGGATGTAGGACCTGATGTCCTCTACATAAGCCCCTATGACTACTTCAGGAAAGAGCCTTTAGTTGGTGAGCTCCCCAGCAAAGGCCCCTCTCCAGGCCCTGAGCTGAGCATCCAGTTCCTGAAAGGGGAGCCAGAATCTCGCTCCCTGCCAAGGACTGGCGGCCCCAAACTCTTATTGAGCTTGGGCAGCAGGGTTGCAGAAGAGTGGCAATCGGAAGCAGTTTCTCAGGTAAGATCAGGAATCGGAATCGAAAGGGCAAAAGGAAAAGATGAAGACTTTGGAACAGGGAGCGGTCACAGCTGGGCTGCAGCTTCCTTCACCCCACCCCAGCCTTTGCTAGACCCCCAGCACGCACACGCCCTACACAACCCAGACAAGCACCCCGAGTTGATGATGCGTTTGCCCCAGTAGAAGAACCCTGACTGCCCCTCTGGCTCCTTCAGACCTGGCCAAGTAAGATTCCCGCAGAATGATAGTCATGGAGCATTTTTGGGTGAGATCTGGCGTTGAAGGGGAACCTTGGAGAGGTGAGCACGGATTGTGTGGGCTTTGACCCTCTTCCCCAGTAGCTGGGCGCGGAGAACGAGAGGCCAGGCAGGGTCTTTGCCAGGTGGCTCGAAAGCACGGCGCCTGCCGAAAGCAAAGAAGCTAAGTGCTGAAGCGAGCACGCAGCCGCCTGGGGGCGCCTATGACCTCCTCCGGCCTCTCTCCTTGATGCCGCGGTGGCTCCGCCTAAACCGGGGTTGCCACTAGCCCCGCCTGGAGAGGGTTTCAGGGCAGTTTTCTGGCGACACTGCCCTCTTCTAGTTAACTCGTCCCGCGGCCAAGTTGAGGGTTCAACCCTGACCCTTCTACTTTACGGGGCATTCAGCATGATATTCTCAGCCACAGCGGTCCCCACACAAGGCGGCACCCCGAGGGCTGGACATAAAAATAGCAGGCGCAGCCACAACGCTCCCGAGTCAGTAGGTCTGGGTTGGGGCCTGAGAACCTGCATCGCTAGAAAGTTTCCCCGGACCCCGAGGCTGCCTGTCCGGTTTGAACCCTCAGGCGCTCCCTGAACCGGCAGTGGAGGGCAGAGCAGGTGGAGAAGCTGGGCGCGCGGGGAAGTCAGGCGTCCGCGCGACAGGTCATCAGCTGGCGGAGGCTCCTGCGGAAGCTGTCGTCCAAGAAGGCGTAGAGAAAGGGGTTGAGGCAGCTGTTGGCGTAGCTCAGGCTGGTGATGAGGTAGGAGATGGCAATGACCAGAGGAGTCTGCGGAAGGTCGGTGGTGAGCGCCACCACGGTGCTCAGGTGGTAGGGCGTCCAGCAGAGGAGGCACACAGCCAGGATCGCGGCCACCAGGAAGGTCACCCGTTTTTTGGCGCGGTCCAGAACCTTGGCGTGGCTGTCCAGCTGAATGGCGTGCAGACGGCACAACAGGGTGGTGTACAGGATGCAGATGGTGGACACCGGGATAGCGAAGCCCAGCACAAGCGTGTAGAGGCGGCTGGCCCGCCACCAGAAGGCCTCGGGCTGCGGGAAGACCAGCACACACTGGCGCCGGCCTTGCTCGTCG